TTTTATAACTAAAATAATCTTCACCGTTTTAGTGAGAGTATTTAAAGAAGTAAAAAGATAAGATTTTATCTTATCATTTCAAATTGAATTTTGTTCAAAAGAGAAAGAAAGCTTGCGGCGGTGAAAGGTGTTCTTCAAGAATCTGTGCTAAGAATAAGCTTTTGTTGTCTTTTTATCTTCAAGAAATCTGTTTGATAAGGTGAGTTTTAAACTACTGTTGAGTATAAACTGTGAGTTTTCTTTTAAAACTACCTTTGCTTATAAACTGTGAGATTTTTATTGTTGATTATACGCTATGAGTTATGATGTTGGTTTTGAAGAAAAGATGGTAGAACTATTTTAATAATTTTAAAGGTGTTATTGTTATTATTGGAAAGATGAAGAAAAGTTTGGTTCTTTAAATCAGTTTTGGAAATGATATCATGTTTTGAGGATTTAAAGAAAACTTGATGTTTTGGAAAATCTTTGAAAGACAAGATTGTTTCTGAGTTTGAAAAGGTTTTTTGTGGATAAAACTATGAATGAGGATTCGATAAGATGGTTGTGACTACGGTCCTTCATCCGAACTAGTTCATAGATTTTGAAGAAGAAATAAGGGTGGCATATCAAGGAGATGTGTCTTTTGGAATAAGGGTGGCATATCAAGGAGAGGTGTACCTTTGGATATAAGGGTGGCAATTGTATGTGGATATTATAGCTCTTGCTATTATGTCTTTTGAGACTACAATAGATTTGAGTCCTTACTTCTTTGTGATTTAAGAACTCGAAAATATTGTTCTTATTAGAAATAATGGTATTAATGCTATTGAGAAGGGGAAAACTTGGCCTACGGTCATTGGTATTGGTTAAAAGTGTTTTGAAACAGAATGATTATTTTCATGAGGAATCGGAGAGGCTCTAGTTGTTCCTCGTAAGGAACCAGAGGGCTCTGGTTGATTCTCATCATTGGACCAGAGGATTTGGTTATTGATTTGAAGGATTGGCAAATTTTTATTAAAATGTATTAGAGGTGTTATATCTTTTGTTAAGTGATTTCGTGACAAAAATCATATTTTAAATATTTAAGAAAAGAATTTTATACTTAGTCTTTTTATGAAAAACAGACCAGTGAAGCTCTGGTTAATTGTTGAACCAGAGGGGCTCTAACAGGAAGCAGAAACTACACCTGATGTAGTAACAGGTACATTCTTCGTGAACTCCTTACATGCTAAAGTGTTATTTGACTCAGGTGCAAACTTCTCGTTTATATCCCCATCATTTGCCTTATGTGCTCGTATGAATTCTCTGCCACTTGATGATAAATTAGTAGTTGATACTGCTAACGGTCAAGTATCTGTTAATCATGTATTTGAAAACTGCACTATCATGATTGAGGGTTGTGAACTACCCATCCGGTTGTTTCCCATGACTATGAAGGAATTTGATGTGGTAGTAGGAATGGATTGGTTGGCAGAAAATAAGGCTAGCATCATTTGCAATGAAAAGATGATTAGAATTATATTACCTGACAAAAGGACAGTCGTAATTCATGGTGATCATCAGGGTCATCATACCAGTTTACTATCTGTGATGAAAGCCAGAAAATGTATCCAAAAGAAATGCCAAGGATTTTTARCTTACATAATTGATGCTAAGAAGGAAAAGAGTAAGCAAGAGATAATTCCGGTTGTCAATGAATATCCTGAATTCTTTCCAGAAGACTTATCAAGGCTACCTCCAGATCAAATTATTGAATTTGAGATTAATTTGATACCTGRAGCAGCGCCTGTAGCAAAAGCATCGTACATATTAGCTCCATCAGAATTAAAAGAATTGGTTACACAATTAAAGGATTTGTCAGACAAAGGATTTATCAGACCAAGTACTTCACCATGGGGAGCTCCAATTCTGTTTGTGAAAAAGAAATATGGCACTATACGTATGTGTATTGAATACCGAGAATTGAACAAATTGACCATAAAAACAAATATCCATTGCCCAGGATTGATGATTTGTTTGATCAATTAGTAGGAGCCTGTTACTTCTCAAAGATTGAATTGCGATCAGGATACCACCAGTTGAAAGTCAAAGAAAGTGATATAGCAAAAACAGCGTTTCGAACCAGGTACGGACACCATGAATTTCTGATTATGCCATTT